TTATTGCATTGTTTCTCAATCCGCTTGTTTAAAGTTGTGTGGACTTAAACCCCCAGAACCCCCCAGCCACCAAAGCTGGCTGGGGAGTTCTGGGAGTTGAAGTCCACACACCTTAAAGCAGCTGAGTTGAGAAACACTGCAGTAGACTCGGTGCCTTTTGGAGTCAAAGCTCTCGGTTTCGAGTTTGGAACGATCTCTTCCAGCCTCCCTAGAAGCTTTCTGGGCACCAGGTAGTCTCATCTCGAGCTCAGAGGGAGCGTTTCAAACTCAGAACAGCTGAAAAACCTCAGGTTGACCTCAGAAGCCCTGCTTGGAGTCCGAATGGCTTCAGAATTGGAAGTGTTGCCCCTCCTGGGGCAGAGACCCGCTTTTTGCCTCCTTGCTGGCTCAGCACTTGGGCTTTGCTAAGCAGAGCTGGACTGAGCTGGAAGGATGAGCGAAGCAGAGGAGCAGCAAGGGGGAAACCCTGCGTTGGAAGTCCACGGGGCCCCACCCTTGAGACCCAGAGCCCCGCTTTCCTCTAGCCCTCTCTGGGGGCCTGTTCTCTGTGGTGTGGCTGCAGCCGCCCAGGCGGTTTTCGGGGCCAGGAGGGCCCATGCAACCCCTGGCAAGTTCAGCCCTCCTTGCTTTGCCTGGAAATTGCCTTCTGCCTACAAGTCAAGGGCATTCTGGGAAGGCAAATCTCAGGGTTTTGCACATCCTTCAGGCTTTGCACGGGGCAAGGGTGGGGGTGGGGATGAATCTAAGCACCAAGGCCAGAGATTTGCAACCTCAGCCCCCGCCGGACCCAGAGAAGGGACCAAGGAAGAAGACAATTAGTTCCCTGGAGGGAAAACCTAGCAGCTATATTTGGTTAATGTACTGTTCATTAAGCTAAAGTTTGGATGAAGCTCAGGGCTCTTCTCCTGACTGCCCCTGCTTTCTGAGGCTGGACTCGGGCACAGGGCACAAGACCCAAAGTGGCACTTCGCTGCCAAAGATGCTGCCCACGCAGGGACAGGAGCAGGGCTTCGGAGGAAGGGGCACTAACCAGCGTGTTTCCCTCCTGGGTTTTGTGGCTGCAGGCAAATCTGAAGAAGTTTATGGACTATGTGCAGACCCTGAATGTGGAGAAGATCAGCAGATTGCTGGAGAAGGGCCTGGACCCCAACTTCCACGACCCGGACACTGGAGGTGAGGCGGGGGGGGCCAGGTCGCCGCCGAACCCGGTTTAGCCCTTCAGAGAGGAAATCCTGAAGCCGAGAAGCCGACCTGGGGGCACGCGGAGTCAAAGACCTCCTGCGGGGGGCGGGTGGATCCAACGTCCAAGAGGTTTCCGGCGCTAAAGAGATGCAGGAGCCCCACCAGCTCTTCTTTCCGTGGTTGAAGAGGGGGGGGGAGGGGGGACTCGGAGGGCAGAGCGCGGGGGGGGCGCCCTGTCTGGCAGGGCTGCTTGGGAGGCAGCCACAGTGACCCACGGCTTCTTCCCCCCGGTGCAAGGGCTCCTCCGATATGGGCGTGCGGGGGGGGGTTCTAGGAAGGGGTGAGAGGGGAT